AGCCACCTCCTTCTCTGTCGTCCCCTTCTTCTCTTGCCCTCCATCTTTCCCAGCATCAGGCTCTTCTCCAGGGAGTCCTTCCTTCTCATTAGGTGGCCAAAGTACTTGAGTTTCAACTTCAGGATCTGGCCTTCTAAAGAGCAGTCGGGGTTGATCTCCTCTAGGACTGACCGGTTGGATCGCCTTGCAGTCCAGGGGATTCGCAGGAGTCTTCTCCAGCACCAGAGTTCAAAGGCCTCCATTCTTCGGCGCTCAGCCTTTCTTATGGTCCAACTTTCACAGCCCTACATTGCAACTGGGAAAACCATGGCCTTGACTATACACACTTTTGTTGGCAGGGTGACGTCTCTGCTTTTTAGTATGCTGTCTAGATTTGCCATGGCTTTCCCCTGCAGGAGCAAGCGTCTTTTAATTTCTTGGCTGCAGTCCCCATCTGCGGTGATCTTGGAGCCCAGGAAGATAAAATCTGTCACTATGATTCTCTTTAGTGGGATATTAAAAAGGAGGGATCCTTAAATGCTTGTTAATCTTAACGGTAGTTTTTTTTTTCAAAATAGGGAACGCTATTAGAATTATGCAGTGGTTGGATTAACACTGGGGGAATCTGATCATCACAGCAAAGGCGCATTAAAAAATGTACTTTCTCATTAGTTTTCCCAGCGGAAATCAAAAATATGTAGATTGCACAGGCAAGTGCAGGAGATATATATTTTAATTTCTTCTTCTACGGTCTCTCGCTAATTCTTAGAATTAATGGTAACATTTATGTGTATGCATCTGGCGTTACAGTTGTGGATGAACAGAACGCACACAGTGAAGATCAAATAAACCAGGCCACCATGGAGTATAATAAGGAATTAGACGAGACGAAGGAAGAAAAAGACGAAGACACAAAAGAATATGAACCCCACTCGAGTAAGTAAACGTAAAATGATGTTTGCGTGAGAATTCCAAGGGCGGATTAAGAGAGCATCGTGTAATTTAACTGGTGCGTTTTTATTAAAAGCAAAGATAAGATGCGCTGGAGAACATATTGGATCCAGATGACACAGAACGCTGTCTCCTTTTAGAAATGGCAGCTTTTAACTTCATTTGCAGGTTTTCTTGGGCACACAAACCTCAATTTCTCTTGCTGAACGAGAGAGTGGGGGATTTTGCCCCACTTTGTGACTTTTCTTGCCACCATTGTGAAGTGAATCGCTGCAGTTGTTAAGTCAGTAACCTGGTTGTTACGTGAATCTGGCTTCCCGTGTTGACTTTGCTTGTCAGTAGGTGTTGTGATTCCTCACCAGCCAGTGGACCCAGCAGCTGAGTCTGAGGAATCAGAGGAGGAGGAGGAGGAGGAGGGACATCAGAGTCAGAGGAAGGCTCTGAGGAGCTCCGAGGCTTACAGTCTGACAAGGAGCCTGGCCCCTCTACTCGCGCTCAGGCTGAGACACAGCTCTGCTGGGAGTCTGAGTTGGACAGTGATGAAGAACAGCTGGGACAAATCCCGGATGCACAAAGACGCAGGCAGGAGAAGAGAGTACGACAGAGGAACGCAGTGGGGCTGCTCCAAAGGCAAAGGAGAAGGCATTAGGAAGCCACGCCTTGGCTGCATAATAAAAGGGAAGGTGTGAGAGGTGCTGGTGGCCGAAGGCAACCGTTTGTGTTGAGGATCGAGTTTTTGTGAACTGTGTTTTTTGCCTTGGACATTGACTCAGGTCTGTGAATAATAAAAGGGGATTGGTTATTTCCTGCGGTTCCAGCCTGCTTGTTGGAAGAAGGATTTCTCCTTGTGAGCGTAACAAGGACTTACGTAGGCTGGGACAGAGCAGTAGGTCGCTAACGGGAATCACGTGCCCTCGGGACGCTGCAACCGTCATAAGTACGTGCCAGTTGCCAGGCGTCTGAATTTCAATCACGTGACCGTGGGGATGATGCAAGAGTCATAAATGTGAAGAACAGTCATAAGTTACTTTCTTCAGTGCTGTTGTAACTTCAAACAGTCACTAAACAAACTGTTGTAAGTCGAGGACGGCCTGCATTGAAACGCTTCAAAGTCTGTTTTACTTCCTACGAAGCAAAACAGCGCCGACGAATTCCTAAAATGAAATACATCGAGTGGTGCTTCCAGCAGGCAACCTCATTATCTCAGTGGTTTTCTATGGCTCATTTATATCATTTTTATAAATAAAACCACAGTATATATTTTCATTCTCTGGCCGGGGAAAACTGCCAGAAGGAGAGAGAAATTGCCTCAAATCCTTCACACGCTGATTCTTTTTTTCAGTCCCGGTCGGTGTTGCCAGCAAGGAAAATCTTCCAGTCCTGAACACCAGAATAATTTGCCCAGGTAATGAGAATTTCATAATTCATTTTTTTGCGGGGGGAAATGAACTGGAATTTAGGCCAGATTCCGCTGCCCTTACAACTCATGGCTCAGATGGAGCCCGAGTAAAAAAAGAGCAGTATTCCCCATAATATCCGTCATGAGGAGATCGTTATTCCTTGAATCCTT